TCTCCCCCCCAGTGCCAGTCCGACCCTCCCCCGACCAAGGTGCGGTCGACGGCGACGCCCTCGGCGACCCGGGGCCATTCCGAGGCCCCCGGTCCGCGGCGCCCAGCACCAGCCGCTCCTGCCCTACACGCCCCCCCGTTCTCTAGGGGCCTCGGGCAGTGTGCGGCGCCCGCCACCGCTGGTACACGCCCCCATTCTCAAGGGGCCTCCCAGGGTGCGGATCCGGCTGCTGGGGCCGCACCGGGCCGGGCAGCGCTGGAACCCCCTGCCGCACGCCGCCCTTCTCGCATGCGCAAATCCTGGTGCTATAGCCGGTTGCGTCGGGGCCCCGCTTCGCATCCCACGTCTCCCTGAGGAACGCCAGAGCCCGCTGCCCCAGAGCGCCTTTTTCGCACGCATTGTTCCCCGCGCTGTAGCCGATGACGTCGGGCTCCAGCTTCGCATCCCGCATCGCGGTGCGCAGCGCCACTGCCTGTTGCCACTGTCCCCTCTTCTCGCACTCGCTGATCCCAGCATTGTGGCTGATGACGTTGGTCTGCAGTTTCGGTTTCCTCCTCTCGCCGAGCGGCGCCAGAACCCACTGGCGCTGCGCGGCCTTCTCGGATGCGCAGATTCGAAGATCCCGGCGCTGTAGCTGGTGACGTCGTCGTGCAGCTTCGCCTTCCGCATCTCCTGGAGGACGGCGAGGGCGTTGGCCGTGGCGTAGGCGCGAGCGCTGGTGCCGGCGGCGGCGCTGACCTTGGTGCTGGCGTGGGCGTAGGCGCGGGAGCTGGTGTCTGCGCTGGCGTTGGTGTTGCTTTCGGAGCTGGCGTCAGCGCATGCGTCAGTGCCCGCGTCCTCAGCCTCCTCAGTCTCCTCGTCCTCCTCTCCCTCTGCCTCCTCGTCCTCCTCGGCCTCCTCCTCCGCCTCCTCCTCCGCCTCCTCCTCCTCCTCAGCCTCCTCCTCCTCCTCCTCCTCCACGCCCTCATCCTCCTCCGCCTCCGCCTCCTCCTCCACCTCCTCCTCCACCTCCTCCTTCTCGATGACGCTGGCGTGGAAGCTGGCGGCGTCGCCGGCGTGGAAGCTGACGTCGTCCGAGCTGGCGTCGGTGCTGGCGTAGGCGCCAGCGTTGTTGCTGGCGCACGCGCTGGCGTGGGTGCCGGCATCAGCGGCTCTGGCGTCGGTGCTGTTGAAGGCGTCGGCGGCGTTCATCCCAGCGTAGGCGCAGTCGTCGGTGTCGTCGTAGGCGTTGGCGTCGGCACTGGCGTGGATGGCGGCATCCTCGGAACTGATCTCGGTGCTGGCGTAGGCGCTGGCGTCCTCGAATGCGTCGGCGATGGCGTCGCCGAGGGCTTTGGCGTTGGTGCTGGCGGAGTTGGCGGTGGCGCTGGCGTTGCGGGAGGCGCGGGCGTTGCCGTAGGCGCTGGCGTGGGCGCTGGCGTAGGCGCATGCGTCCTCCGTCACCTCCTCCTCGACCTCGTCCTCATCCTCCTCCGCCTCCGCCTCCACCTCTGCCATCGTCGCCTCCTCGTCCTCCCCGTCTTCATCCACCTCGGCGTTGGGGTTGGCGTAGGCGTAGGCGTTGACGTCCGAGCTGGCGTCGAAGGTTCTGGCGTTGCTGGCGTCAGGCATGGCGTTGGTGCCGGCGTAGGCGCTGACGGTGGTGCCGGCGTAGGGGTGTTCCTCCTCGGCCTCCTCCTCCTCCTCCTCCTCCTCCTCCTCCTCCTCCTCCGCTGTTGCCGTCGCCTCTTCGTCCTCCACGTCCTCACACACCATCGCGTTGGGGCTGGCGTAGGCGTAGGCGTCCTCGATTGCGTCGGCGATGGCGTCGCCGAGGGCTTTGGCGTTGGTGCTGGCGGAGTTGGCGGTGGCGCTGGCGTTGCGGGAGGCGCGGGCGTTGGCGTGGGCGCTGGCGTTGGCGTAGGCGCGTGCGTCCTCCGTCACCTCCTCCTCGACCTCGTCCTCATCCTCCTCCGCCTCCGCCTCCACCTCTGCCATCGTCGTCTCCTCGTCCTCCCCGTCTTCATCCACCTCGGCGTTGGGGTTGGCGTAGGCGTAGGCGTTGACGTCCGAGCTGGCGTCGAAGGTTCTGGCGTTGCTGGCGTCAGGCATGGCGTTGGTGCCGGCGTAGGCGCTGACGGTGGTGCCGGCGTAGGGGTGTTCCTCCTCGGCCTCCTCCTCCTCCTCCTCCTCCTCCTCCTCCTCCTCCTCCTCCTCCTCCTCCGCTGTTGCCGTCGCCTCTTCGTCCTCCACGTCCTCACCCACCTTCGCGTTGGGGCTGGCGTAGGCGTAGGCGTCCTCGATTGCGTCGGCGATGACGTCGCCGAGGGCTTTGGCGTGGTGCTGGCGGAGTTGGCGGTGGTGCTGGCGTTGCGGGAGGCGCGGGCGTAGGCGTTGGCGTGGGCGCTGGCGTAGGCGCATGCGTCCTCCGCCACCTCCTCCTCGACCTCGTCCTCATCCTCCGCCGCCTCCGCCTCCACCTCTGCCATCGTCGTCTCCTCGTCCTCCCCGTCCTCATCCACCTCGGCGTTGGGGTTGGCGCAGGCGTAGGCGTTGACGTCCGAGCTGGCGTCGGAGGTACTGGCGTTGCTGGCGTCAGGCATGGCGTTGGTGCCGGCGTAGGCGCTGACGGTGGTGCCGGTGTAGGGGTGTTCCTCCTTGGCTTTATCGGCCTCCTCCTCCTCCTCCTCCTCCTCCTCCTCTGCCTCCTCCTCCACCTCCTCCGCTGTTGCCGTCGCCTCTTCGTCCTCCACGTCCTCACCCACCTTCGCTGTGGGGCTGGCGTAGGCGTAGGCGCTGGCGTCCGAGCTGGCGCCAGAGGTGCTGGCATTAGTGGCGTCGGGGTTGGCGCTGGTGCTGGCGTAGGCGCTGGCGTTGGAGCCAGCGTAGGCGCCTTCCGCCTCGGCCTCCTTAGCCTCCACGTCCGCTGCTGCCGTCGTCGCCTCCTCGGCCTCCTCGTCCTCGTTTGCCTTGGGGTTGGGGCTGCCGTAGGCGCAGGCTCTGGCGTCCGAGCTGGCGTTGTTCTTAGGTGTTGGGAAGATTTTGGCGTCTCCACCTTTTCGGCATCGCGACGCCCCAAGACGGCCTAAGAGGCAGCCAAGATCGCCCTGAGAGGCCCGGGAGGCCTCAGACAGGGCCCCAAGACGGCCCAAGAGGCCTCCAAGACGGCCCAAGAGGGCCCCAAGAACGCTCTAAGAGAAGCCCCAAAGGGGGAACACGAAACAACATTTCGAGCCCTCGGCCCTAAGAAGCCCCCAGGAGGCGCCAGGAGGCCCCTTTGAAGCCCCAGGAGGCCCCCAAAAGGCCCTCACGAGGCCCCCAAGAAGCTCCCAAACGGATCCCAAGCGGCTTCCAGAAGCCCTAAGATGCTCCCAAATGCTCCCAACGGAGCTCCAAGAAACCCCAAAGAGGCTCCAACAGAAACCCAAGAGGCCCCCAAGAAACCCCCAACGAGGACTCCAAAGGTCCCCAAAAGCCCAAACGCCAACGAGGGCACAATGCGGGCCAGCGGAATGAGCGAAACGATTAAATAAACCTCAAAAATGGTTGACGCGCCGCTTTCGTGTCGCCCCGATTCATCCATTCAATGTCCACCCCTCCAGTGCCGAAGCAGAGCGGAACGCGGTCTGCGCGGCCGCGACTCGGAAGTTCTACGGTAACCGACATTGGAGAGGCGGCGCCAACAACTACCTTGCGCGCAGTGACACCCAAACCCAGGACATCACATCGACAAGGAAACGGCATGGCACACTGTTGAGGGCAAGCTTGTCGAGGGTAGTGGTCGCTGGCAGGGCAACGTTAGACGATGCTGACTCTCTCACGGCACACCCCGCGCACCTCCTCCAGCCTGGCCACGTCGACCGACCCCCCACCTCGCCGCGCGGTCCCGGCGGCTAGAACCGCGCGAGCGGCGCCACAGGCCTCGAATGCAATCCCGTCCTCTTCAGCTCGTGCAGTCCACGCACCCCGTCGCCCGCCAGAGCTCCCCCGTGGTGCGGCGTGAGGGGTGCTGCGTGTGCGTTAGCGCATTCTCTGCGGAGTGCATGGACGCTCTCGAAGCGCAGGAGGGAGGGCGCGTGGACCCTGAGTGCTCGGCGACGGCGCGTATTTCTGCGCAGGGGCGTCGGTCTGGATTCAGAGCGGCCACGCCTACGCTGTGCAGGGGAATGCAAGCAGGGCACACGCGGGGCGGGCCTCACACCCGAAGCAGCGCCGCCCGACCCGTGCCCGGCGGCCTCGGGGCCGCGGGGGCGGCACAACGCGCCGAGGGGCGATGCGGCCTGCATCGGGCTTGAGGAGAGCGGGTGAAAGCAACCCTCCGCCACGTCTGCGCGTCCTCCTCTCGGGCACGCGCTAGCATGGGTTAGAGATCCACGAATCCGGCGCGCGGGCGCCCTTCCCCGAAACATGAGGCCAGCGCCGCCCGAGCTGGCGACGGAGCTCGCCGATTCTGAGCGAAGCGGGACCCTTCGCTAATCCAAGCGCCCTAAGCCATGTTTGCGTTTCCTCGATCATCTACCTCCACCTTTCTTTCTCGACCTCCACCCTTTCTCCTCCGCCTCGCCCTCCCACATCATAACCCTCCCCTTCAAGAGGTGGCCAAGAGCAGGCCAGGCTGGCCCAAAAATCTGACGACGACCGCCAGATGTGCAAGACTAAGTCCCGCCCACCTCAGCAACCACAAGGTGCGCAGGTGTAGAATTTGAGGCATGCTTACTGAGATGCCGCACTGATGTGCCATGTGGTCGCTCGCTCGCTCAAGACGGGGAGGAGGAGCGCACGTCGCTTCGGGGGGGCGTGGTGCGTTAGAGATGAAAGGCCGCGCGCGCCGCGCGGCTGACCTGCAGGATGGTGGCAGCACTGGCGCCCTCCTGCGGGCCCAGACGGGCCCGAAACTTGTGGTAAATGTGATATGCGTGTACCGCCCTACCGTGGCATCAAGTCGAGGAGGAGGACGAGGAGGAGGAGGAGGAGAACGAGGAGGAGGAGGAGCAGCAGCAGCACGAACGCGGGGCCGGAACCCAGTCAGGGGGGTGCTCGCCGCCGCCGGCCTGGTCGTAGACCTGCCCTGGCCCCCTGCCCCAGGTGCCCTCGCAGGCGCGGCCTCCTCCCGAAGGAGAGCTCACCCTGCCGCCGCTGCGGCGTCGCCGCCTCCAGCTGCTCTGATCTCCGTGCTGTTGCGCGCCGCCTGCTGCCGGCGCTACATGAGCGACTAGGAGGGCACCAACTATACACAAACACCGATCCCGACCAGGGTCACCCCGGACCCAGGATCGATGCATACGCCCTCCTGCCTTGGGCAGAATGCGTATACACCGATCCTGGGCCTCGGATCGGCCTGGCCAGGATCGGTGTAGGTGTATAGCTGGTGCCCTCCGAGGGACGATCAGAAACGGGTCTCACGCGAGATGGCACAGCAACCTTACGCGGTGGCTTGCGCGGGCCGCCAGCGCGGCACGCCACACTGGCGCTGAGGGCGCTCACGCGCGACCTTTCGCGGGCAGCTTACGCGCCGATGTCGGCGAGGACAACCCCGTTTCTTTGTGCCGCGCACACAGAGAACAGAACAACCACCCGCGTAATGAGCACCCTGACGGGCGAAGTCCTGTAGCAAACGCAGCCAAGGAAGGAATCGAACACGGCAGGGCTGTGCAATAGACGGCCTGGGCAGATGAGAAAAAGCCAACCGCAGGGGTCGGGTTGGTTTCCTGCCCCCAGTTACAATCAAGCCAGATCATAACGACGCGCGGTAAGGACGCAAGGGCCATGCGCGCCCAAGCTGAACTCCTTGAGCGGCGTCGGGCGGGCCGAGGAGGCAGAAGAATGGCCGCAGGCAAGGACGAAAGTGCCCCCATGGAAGGTGACCAATCCCTATGATGCGGTTCCCCACACGCACGCTCCCGTGCTGCTGCTGCTGCCGTGCGCGCGCTTGTGGGGCTGTCGCCGCTGCATCTCGTTCGCCGCTCTCGCCGCTGCTCTTCCGCTGCCACCCGTCCAGCTGCTGCATGCTGGTCCACGTGCCGGCGTCGGTCCTGCCGTCACTGCCGACGCCGCTCGGCCACCGTCGACCAGCAAAGCCGTCGTCGTCGCTGTGACCACTGTGTCCGACCCTGTCGACCCCGCGGCGCCATGCTCACACACACCAAGCGGCGGAGAGAGCAGACAATGGAGATTATGCTTCGCGCGTGGTACCACGAGGCAGTGTGTCCACACTCGCGGACGTGCACGCTCGCGCACGCACTACAGCAAAGAAATGTTCGGCCCACTGCAGAACTCTTCCAACATTAAGCCTTTGACGTCTCTAGGGTATCACCCTGGCCAGCTTCGCGCAGCGAGTCGGGCTGTGGCAACGACACGGCAGATGCAACAAATACAGGAGGTTCCTGCCGTAACGACGTCGATTCTGGTTTCTGACTCCGCGTGAACCGTTCAAGCTTGAACTGTCTCTTCTCGGAGGCCACCGGAAACTCGCGACCCCATCTTTCGTATGGAACTCGCACCGTGGGATGTTCTCCATGGGTCCTGTGGCCCAAGACGGACCCCCAAAGAGTGTTCAAAATTGATAACCTCCGCGACTGCGTCGCCGCCGGGTCGAGCGGCGAGACGTTGCCAACAACTGATCTGACCCACATTGGCCTGGCTCGCGAGCGCACGCATACCCGGGGACCCTAGTATACGTGCGCTCGCCCCAGGCTTGGGCCCAGGGACGAGCAATGTCCAGCGCCGCGCACCCTGGCCAGGGCCATCAGCGCCTCGACCTCCCAGCCCGCCCGAGGGCGCGACTGAAGGGAGAAGCGGGCGGCAAGTGCCAGCGCCACCCGCCCGCTTCTGAAGAGGTGGGTCAAAGCCCTGCCGCCGACGAGACAAGACTCTCGTGATGTGTCTGCTGCGGCAGGTCTGTAGAGACTCAGGACGAGAGAGAACCTCAGAGAAGCTTCGCCAAGCCACCTGAGGGCATGCACGGTGAGAGAAGAGCTGCTGAGATCACATGAGGCGCACACGAGCACGATAGAGAAGGCCACCCAAGCGCACAATCAAGGAAAATCCAAACCCTTCCCAGCCCTCCTCTTGTGGCGTAGCTCGGCGTGGCAGCCGCGTGGTCCGCAGCCCAGATCCGGAGTGGAAAAAGGCCAGCGGCAAAATCAGCGGGCCCTGGATTGGGCCACCGTGCCGTGGCGCTGAAAGGTTGACACAGCACTCCTCGGGCCCCTCTGATTCCTCCGCCTTCGGTGATGAGCGTGGGGGGACCCCCGACGAGGGTACGAGTCGCCTCGCTGGCGCGCCGAGCCATGATGGGGCGTCTTCGACGCGCAGAAGGAGCCTGTTTTTTCATATTCTCGGACAGCAGCCGTCACCGGCCTCGCCCCCCGCCTCCCCAAATGACGTCATGTTCAGCACCAGCGGCGTCCAGGAATGCCTGCGGATGACCGAGGCCGAGTAGGTGGCGATCTGCACAACAGCGCCTATGTACACCACAGTGCTCGCGTGCACCACTGCGCGCGTGTACACCACAACGCCTGCGTACACGGCAACAGCATTGTGCAACGCAGCGCCTGTGTACAACACAGTGCTCGCGTGCACCACTGCGCGCGTGTACACCACAACGCCTGCGCACACCGCAACAGCATTATGCAACGCAGCGCCTGTGTACACCACAATGCTTGTGTGCACCACAGCGCCTGTGCACACCACAGGGCTGGTGTACACCGCAGCATCCGCATGCAACGCAGCGCTGGTGCACACCACAATGCCTGCGTACTCAGGGCAGGTAGAAGGAGCATGTAGGTGAGGACCTGCTGCGGACAGCTAAACATCACGCAAGGGAAGTGCTGATAATAGACTGCGATGTCCGTCCCTCCTCCCGCCTCCTCCACCTCCTCATCCACCTCCTCCTCCTCCTCTTCCTCTTATTGTTCTTCATACTAGTATTAATAATAGTCTTCTTTCTACTCTTAGTAGTATGAATAATTGCATGTGTCTTCAAATTGTTCTTCTTAGTAGCAGTAGTGGTCTTATATGTATCATCAGTTGCTTATTATTCTTCTCCATAGTCAAATGCTTCTTCGTCATAGTATTAGTGCTAGTACATGTTGGTGTGTAATATGTTTCGACTTCTTCATATAAACAGTAATACTATTATTAGTAAGAGTAGTATGATGCCTCTTCCTCTTCAACTTCCTCTTCCTCCCCCTCCTCCTCCTCCTCCTCCTCTTCCCCCTCCTCCTCCTCCTCCTCCTCCTCCTCCTCCTCCTTTATAATCAAATTCTCCTCCTCCTCCTCTTCCTCCTCCTCCGCCTCCTCCTCTCCCTCCTCCTCCTCCTTCCTCCTCCCTCCTCCTCCTCCTCCTCCTCCTCCTCCCTCCTCCCTCCTCATCATCCTCCTCCTCCCCCGCCTCCTCCTCCTCCTCCTCCTCCCCCTCCTCCTCCTCCTCCTCCTCCTCCTCCTCCTCCTCCTCCTCCTCCCCCTCCTCCTCCTTCTCATCCACCCATCCCCCTGTCGTGCGGGTCGTGGCTACAGCGCACGTGCGCATCACAGTGTGCACCGCACAATGGTCCATTGAATATGTCCACGGCTCTCGGACGACAAATTCTGCAGGAGCCTTCTGGACGCAGATGGGAAGAATTACGATGATGCGGGAGGGCTCGGAAGGACTCGTAGATTCCAACGGCGCTCTTTTTCCAAAAGGATCCCATCCCATCCTATATCAAACAATTCTTTTACGTGGAATCCATAGGTGCTCCAGCTTGTCATCACGATGCCTTCAACAAATCAATTTACAACATTGGTGCTCTGATGCATGCGCTTGCTGTGGTGAACACAGGCGCCGTGGTGTACACAAGCGCTGTGGTGCACGCAAGCACTGTTGTGTACACTGGTGCTGCGTTGCAAACGGCTGCTGTGGTATACGCAGGCGTTGTGGTATACACAGGCGCTGTGGTTCACGCAGGCACTGTGGTGCACAATGGCGTTGTGTTGTACGCGGCTGCTGTGGTGCACATAGGCGGCGTGGTGTACACAGACACTGTGGTGCACGCAGGCACGTGATGTACACAGGCGCTGTGGTGCAGATCGCCACCTACATGCTGCTGCTACCAGTCCTCGGCCATTCCTAGGCATTCCCAGACGCCGCCAGCGCGAAACGTGACGTCATCGGCCCCCTCCCCCCCTCCAGGTGACGGCCGTCCTCCCTCGGACTAAAAAAACAGACTCAAGCGTGGGGGGGCCCCCCAACGAGAGTCCACGTCGCCTCGCTGGCGCGCCGAGCCACGTGATGGGGCGTCTTCGATGCGCGGTCCGTGTCCACGACAGGGGTCGGGTGGGGGCTGCCAGGTGAGTGGGGGGGTGGCGGTGGCCACGTGTGAACCCTACCCCCGCCCCCCACGAATTCTTAGGGTCACTCTGGTCGGGAGCTCCCGCACGAAGTGAACCACCACCCCTCCCTTAGAATTCGCGGGGGTAGGGGTAGGATTCACACATGGCCGCCCAAGAGGGGGGGGGGCGGAGGGGGGCGACCCGGCGACGCTGAGCGCGGAGCTCGAAGCACACTGGCGTCGACCAGGCCACAGCCGGACCCGTGGGCTGGGGCAAGGACTCATCTAGGGCCGCCGCGGGCCCTCGGGATCGGGCCGACGACACGGGTAGGGGCCTCCATCGGGCCTGTGCGGTCGGATCCGGGGGCCTCGGAATGTAGTCCAGGGCGGGGCCCTGTTATAGGGTCCGAACCCTCAGCTTCACACGGACGCCTCAACTCTTGCGCGCGCCAGCCGAGGAGAAGGCGCCCAAGCGTTGCGCCCAAAATCGGGCGTTGCCAGATGCGACCCTGGCCAGGGGTGAGCATGGCTTTTCCGCAGGGGCACAGAGGGCGCCCGCCCCTCACGGGGCCCAGAAGGCCCCCGGGGGCCCCGAAAGGGCTCCGAAACAATTCTACAAGCGACCTTCGACTACCAGACACCATGGGGACGCCGCCCTGGCAGACCTGTTCCAATCGCGTCCGCTGGTGACTGCGAGCGGACCACGAGACCCGGCCCCCACAAAAATAAAAGGGATCGGCGCGAGTCCTAGGACTTGCGCCTCAGGGATGCGAGGCCCATCCCTGGGCACGCGGGGAAGGCTCCTGGAAAGGAGGCTGGATAGCAGGACTAATCGCGCTTCCCGCGAGAAACCAAGACCGAACACGTCTCAGAGAGCGCATAACATTACAGCCAGATGAATGTTGACAGATCGGACGCGCACACGCACGCGGGCGGACACGCACACGCGCGCGCACGCGCAGCGCACGCGTTCAGGATCAACATTGTTGGTAATGAAATGTTTCGATCCTTCGCGTAATATTAAATCCGAAGCGCACGCGCACGCACGCGCACACGCACATTTGCGCGCACGCGAACGCACACGCACACGCGTTCAGGATAGGGGTCGGGCTGGGACTCACGCTCGGACTCGGGTTCGGGCTCAAACTCGCGCTCGGGTTCGGGCTTGGGCTCGGGTTCGCTCGGACATGCACGCGCACGCTCACGCACACGCGCACGCACAAGCGGACTACACCCGTTCGAAGGCGAGGTTCGAGTACAACTCTAAGACCCCCGCCCCCTGGCCCCGTCGCATCCCTTTCCCCAAGCCCATCTACACAATATGCCGACAATAATTGTGGGTTCCATCACCAAAGTTTACGGAGAACGGTCGCTCCAGCAGCCCATGGCGTAGACTCTAACACGGTGACTTTCACGGGGGACAACAACTCCGCCAGGTTACGCCTGCAAGAAGGGTTGGCTCTCGTCGGAAAAGACAGCTAGAGCGACCCGCGCCCCACCCACGAGCGAATCTACAGTCCGTCAATCACTCCATGTGCAGAAAATCTATATGGCTGAACGAATCGGCTCTTGGGAGGTCGTCGTAAGAAAGATTGAAAAACTTTCGACCCCCACTACGCGGCAAAGATGCTAGATTAGGCTGGACTACGCCAGTGTAAGCTCGGGATGAAGCCGGCCAAACGTGATTAAACGATACCAGACGGGATTTAACAAGATTATGCTGGAGTGGGCCAGTTGCCGACTGCAGATATCCCAGCGCCAAAAAATAAATTAAACATCCCAGGAGTTGCGTCTTGATGCAACTAAACTTTCCCCCTTCGCCCCGGGCCAAAACCCAGGCCGAGGCCGCCGTGGGGGGAGGCGGTCTTGCTGGAAGCGCAGCCTTCGAAGGAAAGCGGCCGCCGCCGCCGCAGCCGGCAAGGCCGCAACGCTGGCCCATCGCCACGCCCGAGGGCGGCGGCACGCCGGGCGGGCCAGCAGGTGGACAGAGGCATCAGCAGAGGCCTTCCCAACGAACGACGACCAAAAACGGATTTCATGCGAGATGGCACAGCGACATTACACCGCAGCTTACGCGGGCCGCCAGCGAGGCACGCTACATTGAAGACGAAGCCCTTTGCGCGCGGCATTCTCAAGGCATTTTACGCGCCAGTGGCGGCGCAGTCGTCGCAATATTGGAAAAACAATGTCCGTGATAATGGCAACCTAATCGCGCAATACCGTGCGCGGCCAAAACAAATTGCGTCGTTTAGATGGGGTTGGAGCTCATGACGGCGGAAAATCGCGCCGCATCCTCGACGCATCACCGATGCGCCGGCGAAGCATTCACGACGTCTGCGACGCATCATCGCGCCGTCGGAGCGGAGAGAAAACTGGCTTCACATCGAAACACGTCGGTATGGCGTCGGCGATGCGGCGTGACCTTTCGACGCCATCTGCTCGGGCCCCATCTGGCACGCCTCGGCTCCGGCGCCATCCTGGCAACGCGTCCTTGCATCATGCCGAACTTCGGGACTGCGCCGCCTACCCGCGCGACGTGTTCCGGCGCGCGCTGGCCAGACAGCCCAGGCGTGACATCTCTACGACGACAGACAGAAGCCGCGCGCAACATAGGCGCGCTGGCAAAAACGGTCTAACAGAGACGATTGGGTAAAGCGGCGAGCGCGCTAAGCATGGAAAGGGTGGAGGCGAAGAGAATTTGTTTGAGCTCGACGCTCGCACCGCCCATGACTGACTCCTGCAATGCGGGGCCTGCAGGAGCGGCCGAACACCTCCCCAACAAGCGAGTGCCAGCAGCCAGAGCAGCGCAAATGGTCTCGGCCATGCTCCCGCGGCGTGCTAAGTGCGCGAAACAGGACGCGCAAGGAGACCGCGCTCCGCGCGCCCTGTTCGGGGCAAGGGGCGCCGGAGTCCGTGCTCCGACGCCCAGCCTACCCGCGGCCCACTCCATGGGCGGCCGCTGGCGACGACAGCAATTTTCTGCCCCCTTGGCCCCCATGCGGGCAAACGGTGGTGACGATCGGGCTGCTACCCGCCTGTTTTCCTGGGAAGGGGCCCCAGTGGCACAGGTGACTGGGGAGGAGGAGGAGGAGGAGGAGGAGGAGGGGGGGGGGGAGGACGACGACGAGCAGGAGCAGGAGCAGGAGGAGGAGGATGGGAAGGAGGCTGAGACTGAGACTGACTACTTCGAAACCTGTTGGAAACGATCGCCGCGACAGGCGCGGAAGGCAGTCAAGGAGAGGCCGACTTCCGACTGCAAAGCGCAGAAACCGCGCCGACAACCAGCCCACCACCAGGAGGGCGACGGGCGCCCCGGGGAGCACGGCCCCCAAAGGCCAACCGGGGACCGGGAGAGGGAGGCCCAGGACTGCAGTCAAAAGCCACCCCCTCCCCGACCTTCCCCCTCAAAACTCCTGCACCTTGAACGGCGCGAGGAGGGCCATGGGCTCGCCCTGGCACCCAGGCTGCGCCTGCATCCAGTCCAGGAAGCCATCGCGATCACGCCCCTGGCCACGATCATAGCCACGCACTCCTAGTGAAAGGACTTGACGAATAGGAAATACTCCGTCGTAGCGGCACTCCGCGTCGCAACGGCGCTCGTCGTAGCGGGATTCCCTTTGTCCTGCTCAGGATCTCCACCCTAGAACCAGACAAACAGCAAGGGCGGTTTCTCGATCTCCTTTTGAACTCCATCTTCTCGTTTGTCCTCCATGGGGCTCGGCCCGTGGCCCATCTCCACGTCCACGCAGCTGCCTGCGACGAGGGCCGCAAACTTTTCCTCGAAGATGCGGTCGTCATCCTCGCTGCTTTGTTTCCTGTTGGCGCGGGTGCCGCCCATGCCGAACCTGGGGTTGTCGACCACGCTCGCGGCGCCCTCGCAGACGCCGCCCTTGCTGACGCTGATGACGCCGACCTCCAGGTCGGAACTCAGCAGGCGCACCATGCGACCCAAGTCCGCCTCGAACTCCGACGAAGCGACATCGCTTTCCTTGTCCGAGGTCGCCGGCCAGAAGCTCCCGCAGCATGCGCGGGCGACCTCCACCAGCGAGTCGCGCTCGAGCCTCCACGGCGCGAGGCGGCTCCCCGGCGCGACTTCGGCCCTCAGGAACGCCTTCTGGCTGGCCTCAACCGCTGCTGCTGGCAGTCCGCCAGCTTCCGGCGGCTCATCCTTCGTGATAATATTGCGCGACTCCGTTGGTTTGACGACCCCGGAAGTGAGGTTCACCTTGCTACTCGCCGCGTTGGCCGTCTTGCTCCCCGCATGCTCGGCGGTCTTCGCCGCCTTCAGTTTCTTGCCCCGCTTCTTGAGTCGAAAGTGAGCCTGGTAGGTCAAATAGCATCCGTCTCCATGGGAGGCGGATGAGCTCACATAGCATCCACTTCCATGTCGCAGGAACACGATATGGGGAGAGGATGGGTATGATAGGATAAGATCGATGTTTCGGTCTTTCCAGCACATGGCGGACACTAAGGTAAGATGTCCGTACAAATAGCGAATGCCATCAGGTATCCGGGCAAATAGGGCGCGCGTGCCTTGAGCCAAAGGCAACGGCGCGCGAGCTATGCTCCCGATACTATAACATCTCCCAAAGAGCTACCCTTAAAGTCGGGAGGGGAGGAGACGGAGAGCATAGCCGCGCAGCCGTTAGGCTCTGCAAAGGCCGCGCGCGCAACTGTTTGCAAGAAAGAAAACAGTGTGTACAGTCTGGCCTAACACCAGACTGTAAGGCGAGCTTCCTCGCAAGGCATTTCACGCAAATACAAGATAGCCCCTTCGAACGATGAAGGGCTATCGGCTCAGTTAGAGGCAAGCCAAACGGGCCATACCTCACCGAGCAAATAGGCATTGAGGCAAAGAGCCTGAGTCATATAAAGCCGGCTCGTTGCCAGGCGCGAAATGCAAGGCTCGTTCCCGAGCAACTAGAAGGGCGCCTCTGTAGTAGGCGCCCATGCTGGCAAATTGGACCGCGGGGGGGGGGCAACAAGGGCAGACTAAAATTGATTAGACTTAGGTCTGTTTCTGTCCTCGGGACCCCGAAAGGGGACAAACTGCTTCACGTCATACTTGAATGACTGAGTGCCTGACATTATTACTTCCAGAAGCAGCTCCCGATCGATGCTTCCCTTTGTATGCCCATATGCGGTCATATCCCTAGTATCACACCACTGCACGTTATGTACTATTCCTATATCCATGAGATCACGTATCCAACTGATATGTCCAAGCAGAGTCCGCTCTGTCGGTATCTTAAGATCCTTGCTTGATAACGATGTATAAACGGATTCAGCGTCTATGGTAAGAGATACTTTGATGGCTAGGCCTCCAACTTCACGCATATCTCGTAGTTGTCGTGGAGTCAGAGCTCCTGCCTTGAGCTCGTGGAGAGTGATGAGCGTAGGGTAACACTCATCGAGGTTACGCGCCGCTGCGAGTGCCTCCGCAGCATAGCTGGACCTCACCTGCAGTCGGTGTGATTTGCATAGTCCGTCACAGAGGTGAACGACGGACTTGCCTTGAGGCGAGTTTCCTCGCCGTAGTACATTAGCCCCGCGTATGCCGTAGCCCTTGGTCTCATCATCCTCCTCCCCGGTGAGCTTCCGATACCCCGAATCGCTGTGGATGTCTACTTCATTCGTAGGCTTCATCCAAGGGAAGGCGATGCGTTTCGGGCTGCTGATCAGCTTTCGCGTCACAGCATTCAGGCGTCTGACTTGCAGATAAGTGGGCTCTTGGATTTTCTGGAGAGAGACCACGTATACCATGAGCCAGATTTGAGTAAGAAGGGCATAGGCGAGGGCTCCTCGCAAACTGACGAACATGTCGGTAATGAGTTTCGTGGCTTTGGCATCGGCCGCCGCTCCTGTAAGTTCTGGGTGTGTGATAGGACGTAGTTGTTTGATATACTCGTCCTGATCCATGATCACATCCCCTTGATCATTCTTAGTGTAGCGAACGGCGCAGTTCGTATATGAGTGTTTGTTGAGCTTGCATTTGCCAAACACCTTTTCGACACGCTGTACATAGTCGTCTATATATTTCTCTAGGCCTGTCATGTTAATATCATCGACATGTTTTGCCGTTAGCAGATCTTGGCTGAATTCAAATTCAGGATCATAACTGGTCGGTGCAAGGCCTATAGCTCGTGTGGTCGTACGAAGTTTGAGAGAGAACGCTCTTGGAGCGCCCTTTGTACCCGTTCCTGGTTTGAGGCACCTGAGGCAGTGTCGGCTTTCGCCATAAGATGAGAAGCCGGGTAGTGTACGAAGTACCTGGGCACTTCCCGGTGGAAGAGTGAAGCAGACCATGCGAGTTTCCTCGCCGGTGGCATGGGCAAGTTCCTCATAGGTCAAGCCCTTGAGGAACGCCTTGTCGATATCCATGGATGCTAAGATCCACTCTGGATGGCATGCCGCCTCACTTGCCAGGAGTCGTTGGGACTGCCTTCGGGCGGTTCCCGAGAATGTTTCCACGTCGAAAGCCTCAGCATCCATAAATCCACGAAGGACAAGTCTGAGACGAATGGTTTTAACGTTCTCGGTACCCACCTTTACAAACTTCCACTTGTATACATACCTGGATGTCGTGATGTTGGAAGCTTTGGATAAATCCTACATCTCAAAGCATCGGTTGTCAATCCAGATTTTGAGTTCAGTATACAAAGCTTCACTGACTCCTTTGGATGTCCTGCTATGTCGGCTTTGGTGAGTAGGTCATCTTCTTTAACGACTACAGCACGTTTAGCAGCAGAGGATACATATATTCTCATCGTTGCGACCATGGCAGTGTCGAGCTGTGCAAGTTGAGTCTGATCCAACACTACTTTTGACATTTCTGATGTAAAACATAACTCAACGTAAGGACCATATTCATCACTGTCAAGAGAGTAGCTCTCGTCAGGTGTGGTTGGGCAGAGAGAGACTAGACAAGACTCTCGTGGTTCAGGCTCGTCTCCGAGCGTGTCCGATGATATGACATCTTCTTCGTCCACAGATTCTGAAACCAAAACACATTGGTCGGGCAGCATGGTTGTTGGGACGCAGTAGAGATAATCGTCGGTAGTCGTCGTAGGATGAAGATCCATACGTAGTTCGTCGCACCACTCTTCCAGCATCATAGCTTCGATATTATGCCCCTCATTTTCCTCATAGATTGTCGACAGACAGCCTTCACTCGGCGATGAAGCACCTGGGGTATCTGGAGGAGGCCTGTTTCCAGGCGAATCGTGTTCTCCAGACGTGTTGCTTGAGTGCTGATATTTAGCCAGGTCGTCGTGAAATCCTAAGGAGGGGACACGTGAAGTCAAGCATTGAATAAGTCTGGAATGAGTGCTACCAGTGATCTGAGAAATGTTTAGGCCGGTGCCCACACACTCGTAGTACTGGAAAGCTGGGCTGATATCGTTGTCATAGTGGATCAGCGTAGACCCGGTGGCGTACTTTACTGCAGGTAAGCTTGACACACTTTTGGCCAGTCTAACTGCTACTACATGCTCTACTCGAAAGTAGTTTCGTACGAGATACTGTAGTGCTAGATGTACGCGCGGGTGAAACTTGCTGTCGTCTGAAAGATTGAGGTTTCCCTTGTAATCTGGGATATAGCCGAACACTTTGGCAGGTTTCCCTGCGCCGAGGTGTGCCACATATGTAAGGACGGTTTGCATGGCCATATTTTCCATGCCAAGTTCCCGTGTGAGGAGACATTCAATGTATAGTGTGTGACGAGCATCAGGATACATCACAATTACCTCACGAGATCCTGCCTTGACAACAATATGTCCTCTTTCAGGCACATTACGGATCACCGGGAAGGGGCCATTCCAGCCTCCATGATCGTCCTTTGTGGCCGTGGGTCGATGGTAGTCTACCAGATCCCCTGCAGAGTAAAGGCGAGCACCATCAGGAGCCGTTTTAGCCCTAAGAGCACGATTTGTCTTGGCCACAGCAGTGGCTTGCGTTATGGCTTCTAGGCTAACTTCCCTTACACGACGTTCTCGTTCGTGTCCTGATGTCTCGGGTCCCTTGGGAAAGTCAAGGGTGTCGAGGTCAGGAAGAAAGGAGGGCTGACGTCCTGTGTGTGCTTGGTATGGCGATACTCCGTTGTAAAACGTAAAGGCATTGGTAACGAAGATACATTCTGCCAATACCCTAGTGAATACAACAGGGATGTTGTGTCGATTCAGCTCTTCCTCAATCATGTGGAGGACGCCTCTGAGAATGCCGTTTCGTGACTCCATTGAAGTCGCGTGTTGGCCAGGTGCTCGGATACGAAGTTCCGCGCCCTTATTGGCCATCATGGCCTTAGCGGCATCATTGTTCAGGGCGCCTTCTCCGTCTGAGTATAAGACTTTGAAGGGTCCGTGATAGGCAACCCAGCAGTAGTGGTAGGCGTCAAAGATAGCGCCACGTTCTCTGTCGGAAATTTCTTGGCCTGCTGCCAGGCGAATACAACGATCCATAATGTGAAATATGGTCCGTTTCTTGTAGAACATGAAGTCCATTTCGCCTTCATCGAGCCAGTTACCGGGAAGGCTCACCGAAGGTAGTGTTGAGTTTCCTGGACGTTCCCATGCTCTGCATCCCCGACAGGTGTCGCAAACTTCTTTGATCATGTTCAGTCGAACGCTATCCAGCCCCACTTTGTCGAGGATTAGCCTCATCCTGGGTTCCTTCGCATGATACCATCGCAAGTGCAGTTTCCGGAGTTCCTTTTTAACGACATGAAGTTCGGGACTACGGAGATTTTGCAGACTGCGTTGGATGTCGAATCTCGTCCAGTCGGGTAGTCGTGGAGCCCCAGAGCCGGTAGAGGCAAGAGGGTTCCTTGTGGCTCTCCGAAGTCGGTCTCCTTCGTTGACTGCATCTGGAGGTGGTGGTACGCCTTGTAGGCGGCCACGACGGGCCGCTACCTGTGGCGCTTCGCTAGAGGACGCAGAAGGCGTGTTTCCACGCTCGGGGGCGTCTCGTAGCATGTCGTAACTGCTGGCACCAGATGTCGGATCAACGTTACCGAAGGATCGTGGTCGCGGTGGCCTGGCGCGTGCGCCTTGGCGGCCACCTCAGGCTGAAGCTTGGCCCTCACCATGTTTAGGTAAGGGTTTCCACCAAGCTGGCACGGTTTTGCCTTCGGGGTCGTGGTCGTCTGGAAGTTTAAATGGTTCAGCAGAACGACATTTACCAGGCTCGGTATCGAGGTGGTTCTTAACACCTTTGCTTCTCGTAAGATCCCTCTGGCATGCGGGGCATGGCCAATATACAGAGATGGAATCATGATATTTACACTGCGTAGGGTCTCTGTTATGGCTAGGACTGTCCTTTCGGACG